TCTTTTTATGGTTTATGAAGTATCTTCAGATTTGGTCTGGGAGGTCACTGGTCTAAGCATTTTTACAGGTGAAGAGACGGGGTTGGCAAGAGAAGGATTTCATATTACTGTTGGGGGAGTGGTATGGGGAGTGAAGCCAGGACTGGACCCAGTGTCTTCATTTGAATCCTGTCTAAGTGAGCAGAACATCTTACTGGGACTGTTCCTGAAGCCTGCACCTCAGGGACCTGCTCACCCCTCTTTTAAGGGCAGAGCGAGATGGTTGGACACTCTTGTCTGATTTTCGGCTCGTTCTCCTGTGTATGTCTTTGGTCTTGGAGTTTATGTCTCTAGGGGTAGAAGAATGTGTGCTGTGAGGGGCAGGGGATTGGCTTCCATTCCTGGCAGAGCAGCAGCTGTTACTGTGTGTCAGGGACTGTCTGTACTGTATGTACTGGGGATGACAGGAAGTTCAAACAGTCCAGGAGAGTTACTTTTGTTACATAAAGTACCCCTGATCCTCAAGGACTGTTTCGATACCATAAGCAGGTGTGTTCAGCCCGTCTTTGCTTTATGATAACACAATGTCAAAAATAGTGTAAAGTGAAGAAAAATACCCGAATGCTTCTCCCTTTTCGAAGTCAGTGATAGATTTATGGCTCGCTGCTTCTCTGATGTGCTAGTGAAGCACTCAGTTGAGTACACTGTTGTTCTCTTGAGATGTGCTTGTGGCACTCGAACAGATTGTATGCCAGTGGTAGGCAGACCTTTCAGCTGCTAGTCTCCATGGGAAAAGGTGACCTGGGACCTAGGTGTCATTGAGGAAACAGACAGCAGTTCCCATCCAAGTAGAGCTGCACCGTGGAGCAGCTGCCAGAAGCATAGTCAAGATAGATTGTGTATTGATGTCTATGTATTGTAAGAATAGAGTCACTGAATCATTACAAATCGGTGTGCTCACAGCCAGATGTTAGCTTTATGCTGTGGCCCCCAGGACACTGAAGAGCCCAGTTGTCTGTCTAGGCTCTGGAGTAGAGGGTAAATTGCAGGCATATTTGTCCTGTGGCCTGCAGGCTGCGTGCGTGTGTCCTGTATTGCTATAAATGTGGCCCACCAACACATTTGTGGGTAACAACATTAGAATGCAGTGTAAGAAGTTTGGACAGCTGCTAGCATCTAGGTGGCTTAGTGAGGATGTTAGCTGGGGTAGTGGAGACTGGTGCTAGAAGAAGAAGCTGCTGCTTTCCAGCCTTCCTGTCAGCCCTTGAAGGTCCGTGACCTAAATCCCAAATTGTCAGGGCATATGAGGATGATAAACCATGCCCCAGTGGAGCCTTGTTAGGCCCCGACTGGTTACAGCCCAAACCCAGCAGCTTAGAGGTAAGTAAGAGTGGGAGGAAGGAGTGAAGCTGTGGAGATTTGAGGAGGAACCCCGGAGGTAGTGATGTGTGGTCTAAGCCTTGAGTTTATAAATCCCTCCTCACTCACATCACAAAGATGGCTCTCCCTCTAGAGGGTCTGGGAGGCAGCATCAGCCACATATTAATTCGCTTTTGGGCTTAGCTTAGACTCAACAAAAGTAACTTTTGAGTGGTTTTTATGCTGTGTGGATAATTATGGGGTCTTTGTACATGTCCAAAGGGGTGTAAAAGAGTGTTATTGGGCCCTATGACAATTTGATTTTGAGCTAATGTCTGATTATTTTTAAGTGGCACTTGGTGTTTGCTCAATACATGATATTTATTAAATTGTAGTATCCCATTGAGTTAAATTCCTGGGCTCTATAGTTCCATGATGGGGAATACCCAAGAGCTTTATCTCCCTTCAGAAATGTTTCTCTCTTTCTAGGCAAAGGTCAACAACTCTAGTTTAATTGGAGTGGGCTATACTCAGACTCTGAGGCCTGGTGAGTATTGTTGATAAAGTAGGATTGTTTTTACAGCCCTCTTCCCCTTTTAAAAAAGGGTCATTTAAGTGTGTGGGTGTTTTGTCTACTTCTGTGTCTGCACACTAGAGAGGGAGGGCAGTGGATCCCATGGGGCTGTAGATACAGACGGCTTGGAGCCACCACATGGGAGCTGGGAATTGAACCCAGGACCTGAGAAGAGCACTCGGTGTTCTTGACTGCAGAGTCATCTTTCCAGCCCCATTTTTACAGTATTTAAAAAACTTTTTTAGTGTATTATTTTGTGACCCTTTCAAGCCTGTCGTGGGGTTGACAGTCCTTTTCTGGGAAGTTGCAGCTCACGACCCTTGCTCTGTCGAGTGAGGAGGGCTGTCCTGAGTACGCACAGCCCTCACTCCCCACTGCTGTCTAAATGGTGTCTTGGACCAGAGTTCACCTGGTGCGTTGGCTGGTCTGTCTCTGCGGTCCCTTCAGGTTGGGGATTCCAGAGCCCCTCTGAGTCATATGCACACTGCCAGTCAGTAGATCTGAGGTGGAGAGCTCTGTATTTCTAATGAGCTCTGGAGCACTTAGAGCAGTTGACCAACAAGGTCCTGAAGTACTGGCAGCCCAACTTTCCTAGCGGGGACCCCACTTCCCACACCTAAAACTTAAAGAAAAGTGAAAGTGAACAACACGAAAGGGCCAGTTACTGCTCACATACTCAGCACCCTTCTTACGTTAGCATCATTTACCTGCCTGATGTGTGCTTCCTACTTGTCCTCAGAGGCTTCCCTTTAGGGTTCACTTACAATCTGGTCTTTCCAGGGGTGTCTAGTCTGGGTAGTATAGTGACCATGATTATGGCTTCGAACGCTTTGAACTTACTACTAACCTTTTTCTGTCTAAGATGTACATTTCCCTAGTTCCTAGTGTCACGGTTCATCCAGTGCCCTCTGCTGGCCGGGATTAGTATGGTTATTGCAGACTGAGAAGTACCAGTGGGCCCATCATGGTTGTCAGGCCCTCATGGGGTTTGCTCTGTTCACAGGTGTGAAGCTTACGCTGTCTGCTCTGGTAGACGGGAAGAGCTTTAATGCTGGAGGCCACAAACTCGGGCTTGCCTTGGAACTGGAGGCTTAATCCAGTTGAAAGAAACCTCTGGGAACGGATTATCAGAAGATTTGGCCTTAATATATTTCCATGTGACCAGCAGGCTCCCCCTTCCCCCAGAAGGTGATGAAATCAAAGGATGATTAAACAAGAGCTGTATTTTGAATATTTAGACAGTTTCCTGTTGGCTGGGTTCTAGTTGGATGGTTCCCTAGTTGTCAGGGCTGCCGTTGTGCGGCGCCTCCACATTATTTAAATGTATTTAATGTTAATGTGCTGCCCACCAATGATGAAATAGACGTTTATGAAAACCGGGCTATGGTCTGCATGTTTGTTTTCTGTTCCTTTAACATTGACCATTGTACTGAATGGATCAGTGGATGTTTTAAGATGAGGGAAGAGATTTTTTTGTGTTATAGTCAACCATCATTAGAATTACTTTGGTAATCCCAAACATGACAAATTATGAATAAAACAAGTGTACATAACTAATGACTCCACGTATGTGCAGTTACAGATTGGCCAGCCAGGGGCTAAACCTTGGTTAATACTTTCTGGTGAGCAGTTTGCTCTTTACCTTAATCTGTGCAGCTAAATTCCTGTGTCCTTAGCATAATTCCTCGAGACCTTTGAGACTACAATAAAATCAGAGGATACATACTTTAATACTCTTCATTTTCTAAGTTTGTGTAAATTTACAGTGAGTCACTGTTAACCCCACGGATGATGCAGCGGCGGTGCTGAATGGTTAAACAGGCATGCCGTACCCTTCGGAGCCACAGCTACAGGAAGTGGAGGAGGTCCTAGATAGGTATGGCTGGGCAGAGGAGCGGCGGTGATGGGGTGCAGAGAGGAGTGAGTGGGTACCCCTTAGCCAGCACCTGGGGATTATCTGCATACCCAGTGATTCCAGGTGGAAGAGTAGAACAGCACAAGCTTCCCCGGGAGAGGATATCGAAGGTGGGAGGGGAAGTCATGGATGAGAGAAGGGAGACAAGGGGCACACTTCTGGATTAAGGGACCCAAGTTGAGTCGGAAGCTTTGGAGGAGAGCTAAGAGAATGGAGTGCGTGGGACTTCCTCATACACAGAAATGCGGCACGTGAAGAAGAAAGAACCTCTAGGTTAAGAGTTAGATGATAGAACTTCACCTTGACGTGTGGAGGAGCTGAGGGACACAAAGGTGTCTTCTGGCCCCACTGTTTGCCCTAAGGGATTGGCAAGGGGGGCACCATATGAATCAGAAGACCGATTCCCTGAAAGGTTCTGTCTCTAGGCACTATCACCGTGGAAGGTAACAGGTTGAAATTTGAGTCTGGATCCGTTGATTGGTGAGAAGGAACTATGAAAGGTATCCAGACTAATGTGAAAGTAGTGCTTGCCGACCTAAGCTGTCCTCAGCCCCCTCGGTGGCCGGTGCCCCTCAGCTACATTCCATGCTGCAGTTTGGAGTTCATCTGACAGTGCTGTGGATGAGTGTGTGTACACATGTGGGTACTTCTTAGAGCAGACTGGACCAGGTCTCCCGTGGGCACTGGAGTATGCACTTGTGACTTGGGGGGGGGGGGGCGCAGCTAGTTCTTGAGGGTTGTGGAGAACACGAGGTGCAGGGCTGTGGGGCTTGGAGACTCAGCTCATGAAGCTGCACTTGGAGTGGGCTCTAGATGTGTGTCACCCGGGGGCCTTAACCCACAGGCGGCAAACCTGTGCCGTCCCAGAAAGTGCCCTCATTCTAGAGCAGCTGGAGGATTGTGAGGAGCAGAGACCCAGTCAGAGGCTGGCTTCTTCCACTGCCCCCCAAAGGACAATGCTAGAAAAGACTCAAGATCTTGAGGTGCCTTGAATGCTGCCTACTGTCAAGTCTGCTTTACACCTTGGACATCAGTTCCCTCCCACAGGACTTGGGTGGAGACAGCAGACAGAAATTCGACCCACCCTTAGGTCTTCAGGTCTAGGCCAAGATGGTTGGTTCTCAGTTGATGGTCCCTGGTGAGTGCTAATGGAGTTATTAAGGCAATTCCACGTAGTTAAAAGGGAGGTTTATTTTGGGGTAACTTACAACAAGTAAAGGGATATGTTACAGGATGCAGGAGAGGTGAAGTGCAGTCCAGCGGTGATCTCTGGAGAACTCTGCTTGGTCTACCATCCAGCAGCATCCAGGATCACCAGGAACCAAGAGAGCCCTCTGGGTCTTAAGGGCTCCTGTCTCAGCCACACCTCAGGGGCAGGTCATAGGTAGGCATGACAGTCCCGGAAGCCTCACTAGGGGTAGTACTTCCAGGTCAAAGCTGGACCAGCTACCCACTACAGAGGGCTTTCATTGCCCAGGTAATGGTGGGGAGGCAACAGCCCTGGGGAAATGTGGGTAGACCACCAGCAGCCTATGACTAGGTTGCTCTCTTGCAGGACCTCTGTCTTGTCAGACCCCAGGAGATAGATAAGGCCCTCCCTTCCATCTAGCCCCCATAGCCGGTTGGGAGTCTACTCAATGCATACAGCTGCAACAGCTTATTAAAACTACCCTGTCAGATAGGGCCACAAGCCTTGGTGCCAGGGAGATACTTTACTGGAAAAGCTGTCTGTGTTCCTGTAGGGAACCACCTAATGAACCAAATATGGATGCTCAGAAGGTCGTGTGTCCCAGTCCTTTTATTGTCAGGTTTAAAACAAGGGTCACTGGCCGGGGTTCTCCTTAGATCTTGAAGGCCAAGGAGAGCCCGTCCCCCAGGGGCAGGAGGCTGATGTAGACCCTGGCGTCCCGGAGGATGCGCTCGTTCAGGTTCCTAACGCACTCCACAGCCTTGTCCCTGGGCTTGGGCTGCAGCACCTCTCCGCGCCATAGGACCTGTGGAGGGAGGGGCGGGCCATCGGGAGGGGGGCAGGAGGGGCGGGGCCTACGGTGCTCTGGGCGGGGTTTGGGGGTGGGAGGAGCCGAGACCACCGCGGGACAGAACCGGGCGAGGGAGCCGTCTAGCCTTCGCTAGTCCTTACTCTGAGCACGGCGAGCACGCCTCCGGGGCGAAGCAGCTGCAGACAGCGCTCGTAGTAGGCGGCACAGTTCTCCTTGTCAGCGTCCACCACCGCTACGTCGAAGGTTCCGGCCTCGCCCGCCGCTAGGAGCTCATCTTGCGGGGACAGAGGGCAGGTGCCGCTGAGCGGCGGTCCCGGGGGCAGGAAGGCCCTGCCCAAGGTTCAGGGTCGCCAGCTTGGTCCCCCAGGTTGGACAGTGCAGGCAGGGCCCCTCCCACGCCGGTGCTCACCCAAAGTCTGCAGGGCCGGCTGCAGCCGAAGGTCGATCTTCTGCTCCACTTCGGCCTGCGGAAGGAGGCCGGTCAGACCGGCACGCCCCCGAGGCCGAGCGCGCGCAGCCGCAGGCGCGGGACTCTCACCTGCTTCCACAGGGGCCGCCCCAGCTCCGGGGGTTCCGTGTCCACCTCGCAGGTCACCACGCGGCCAGCCTCGGGAAGCGCCAGGGCTAGCGCCAGGGCGGAGTAGCCAGTGAAAGTACCTGTGGAACGGGACACCCACTGGCTCAGTCCCGGGTGCGGGGTGGCCCCGACACTCGGGGACCCCAGCGACTGTGGCTGTGCGCCCCTACCCAGGTCCAGCGCTTTCTTGGCCTTGATGAGCCGGGCCAGGTTGGCCAGAAGCTGGGCCTGCTCACATGTCATCATGGAATCCCCCTGCGGCTGCTCCAGGGTCAGCTGTGTATGGGGAGAGGGTGGTACGGTTCCTGCCAATCACCGGCCCCCCAGCACAGGTTTTGAATCCTGCAGGGGCGCGGTGGCAGGCGTGGCCTAGAGGGGGACAGGTTGCAGGGAACCCGGAAACCCAGAGGGCCTCGGCCCAGCCCAAGGTCGCAGAGCCACGTGAGATCCACCACGCTGGGAAGTGAGGAACCTGTTCTCGCCCCCAGTCCTACTGACCAGTCGCAGGCTTCGCAGCGCCGGGTGCTCCCGCATGGAGCGGCTCAGCAGATACTGCCACAGGGGACTGTCCGCAGGGGGCAGCAGGCTCTGTTGTCGCCTGGACCCCCACGGAGGCCACCGTCTCCCTGCCGGGGAGAGGGTGCCGGATCAGGGCCTGGGGTTCTAACAGGGTTCTCGGGCTCTGCTCCGCGCCCTCCCTTTCCCGGGGCCGTCGCAGCTCACCCAGCAAGAGACCAGTGGCGAAGGCGGCGCCCAGCGCGGCCGAGCCCAGGGCCAGCGCGGCGGGGACAGACAGCCGAGGCAGTGGCTGAGCCATGGTGCTGGTAGCAGGCGGTGGCGATGGTCACGTGTGCTGGAGTAGAGGGGATGGGACTGGGACTAGCGACTGGGCTCCACCTTGTCCAGGCCCTGGCCGGCATAGCCGCGGCCTCGGGCACCATCTGGTGACACATCGCCGTATTGCAAATGTCAGGCCGAGAGAACCGCGCGCCACCCGGTGGCCGCATGTGGAACTGCTTCGGGCCGGGGAGCAAGCCCTTGTAACCGGGGCTCTTGCTGTGTCTGCAGTGTGACCTGCTCCTCCTGGCTGCTCTCGTTGAGGCCCCCAAGGCATCTGTGAGCATGGGGAGCGGGGTCGGGGGGTTGGGGGTGGGGAGGTAAAATGAGTGTGTGGCCAATGGAAGTGTTCAGAGAGACACAAGGGGCGCTTCCTGGAGAGGTGCCCAAGTTGAAGGAACCGAAGACAGGAGACAGACAGGGCTTCAGGAGCCCTGGGGCACCTAGTTAGTGGGTTCCGAGACAGTATCCTTAGCAGCTGGGATGCTGGGTGTAGCATTTTGTGCCTGTCCGTCTTTCCGAGTTTCCTTTTTGTAAAGAAGGGTCACAGTCTTACCACGAAAGGCACCAGATTTCTCGCACACAGTAGGTGTTCAATAGTGGCAGCTGCTGTTATGGTCATTGGCTAGAGAGGGCATCTTAGCAGGCGGCAGCTGAGTTCCCCTTGCAGGGCTATTCTACTAGGCTGGTATTCCCTAGGCGGTAATTGAATACCTACTGTATGCTGAACTCTGGTGGAAGGGAAAGGCGGCCATGGTTTGTGGCTCGGAGACAACCGATCAGGCACAACTGGTAGGCAACCCCACTCTTCCTATCCCCCTTTCTATAGGGTGAAGTCCTTACTAGTCCTCACTGCGCACAGCACCTGACAGAGTTCCGAACGAAAAGACAGGCACAGGCCTTACGGGCTATCCGAGCTAATTTCTGTTTTTTCCTGAGACAGGGTTTCTCTGTGTAGCTTTGGAGCCTGTCCTGGATCTCACTCTGTAGCCCAGGCTGGCCTCGAACTCAGAGATCCGCCTGGCTCTGCCTCCAGAGTGCTGGGATTAAAGGCGTGCGCCACCACCGCCCGGTTTATCTGAGCTATCTATTTTTAAGAGTTGCAATCCGCAGGGCCCGAGGTGGTTGCCTTGGAAGCCTCTTTCTTTTTCTTTTCTCTCTCCCTCTCTCTCTCTCTCTCTCTCTCTCTCTCTCTCTCTCTCTCTCTCTCTCTCTCTCTCTCTCTCTCTCTCTCTCTCTGTCTCTCTCTCTGTCTCTCTCTCTGTCTCTCTCTCTCTCTCTCTCTCTCTCTGTCTCTCTCTCTCTCTCTCTCTCTCTCTCTCTTTCTTTCTGTTTTTCGAGACAGGGTTTCGCTGTGTAGTTTTGCACCTTTCCTGGATCTCGCTCCGTAGCCCAGGCTGGCCTCCATCGAACTCACAGAGATCCGCCTGGCTCTGCCTCCCAAGTGCTGGGATTAAAGGCGTGCGCCACCACCGCCCGGCCGGAAGCCTGGTTCTTAACAACACTGGCCAGGTCCTGAGACCCTCAGAAGGCAGGCAAGCTGGGCAGGAGGAGTCCCCAGCCAGGACTAGAGCTGAGTGAGAGGCTGGAGTACTGGCCGCAGGAGGTAAGGGCAGGCAGGGCTCCGGGGCTAGAGAGCGCCGCCTCCATTCACAATCAGGGTAGATTGGCTTCTTGACCTATGGGCGTCTGCCCCGGGCGGGCGCAGCTGGACAGAGGAGAAACCTGCTTTCTCTAGGTGTGTGGTGAGCTCTCCCAGCTGCTCCTGGAACCCGCCTCCAGGACAAGCTCTTTGTCTCCACTGACTCTCGACATCCGGTTTGGCCCTGGAAAAATGTTTCTAAGTTTGAGCCATGCTCTCCAGGTGAGGATCGAGGAAGAGGCAGTTCCTTAGGGCTGAGCACACAACGGGCACGAATTGCATGCCTTCTGAGTGATGTCCTGGTGGTCCCACTCAGCGGCCAGCGGTAAAAACAGGGGCGGGGGAAGCCCTTACTGAGCACACCCAGCGTCCCTTGCGGCAGGGTATTATTGTTTCCCATTTTCCGGAGAAGGAAAGGGAAGCCCTGAACCGGTCACCTCTCCAAGCTCACGGTCCAGCTGCTTTCTCTCCTAAATTCTACCGTCTTTATCAGTGCTTCTTCGGGACGCACATAGTGGGAACGGGTGGTCCTGTCCCCACAGGACCTCAGCCGGCAGCATGCAGCACAAGGTGCCTGGCCTTAGCTGGAGCCCTCTCTCCCAGATCTGGGGATCCGGGTGCCTCTGGGGTCCCCAGTTCACACCATAGCCTTCCTCTCCCAACCTGGCTTCAGGCGGGAGCGGTTGGAAGTGTGTGTGTATGTGTGTGTGTGTGTGGGGGGGGGGGGGAAGCGGGCGAGGAGGGAGCCATGTCACCATATATCCCCGTCAGATTAAAAAACTAATTTGAAAAGATTAATGCCTTCCATTCCTGTTACGTTGGCTCTGCTACCTCTGGGCCTGCGGCCGCTCTGCCTCCTGATTATTGAATTTTTATGGCCTGGTAATTAATTGCAGATCCCCTGTTTTGTTCTATTTCTTTTTCTCTGACATTTTAATTTCAACAGAAAGCACCAGTCTCTATGCAGATTCTCTCTGGAGACCCTAATGGTCTATAAAACAGAATGACTTATCCACGTGGCCCCCACTTCAGTTGGCGGCCGATTGTTTGAGACCTTGCTGATCACGCAAAATTTAATTTTTCCGCCTCCCTCCCCTTTCTGCTCCTGTCTCCTGTCTCTCCCACCGCAGCGCCAGCGCCTCCCCTCACCACGGAGGGAGCAGAGTCCCGATCTGTTGCAGGGCCTTGTCTTTAGGAGGTCCCGGGCTGAAGTCAAGGCAAGGTTTTCGGTCCTTCTCTTTGGCAGTGAACTTGGCACTGGGTATGGAGCTGGGTGCATGTAGATAAAGGGACATTCTTGGCCATATTGGGTCACAGCTGTTCGCAGACACGGGGATGGGACAGACCCTTGAGTTTCTGCCTGATGCCCGACCTCTCGGTCTTCGGGCCCTGCTAACATCACGTTGGCTTGTCCTCTCTTCAGAGCCCCACCCCCACCCCTGGGACTAGGCAGATCAGAGCACAGTGCAGAAGACAAGATTAAATTGAGCCGAAGGGCCGGGCAGCGATGGCACACGCCTTGAATCCCAGCACTCGGAAGGCAGAGCCAGGCGGATCTTTGTGAGTTTGAGGCCAGCCTGGTCTACAGTGTGAGTTCCAGGACAGACAGGGCTACACAGAGAAACCCTGTCTTGAAAAAAACAAAACCAAAACAAACAAAAAAAAACAAAACAAAACAAAAAAAACCAACCCAAAAAACAAAAGCAAAAGCAAAACAAAACAAAACAAAAAAGCCAAAAGAAGAGTCTAAGGGCTGGGAACTTGGGTGTCTCCAGGAGCCAGGCAGGTGAGGTAAATCAAGGGAGGTGATAGAATTCCATGGGGGCTGTGTCAGTACAGTGCTCAAGTTCCATCAGAGGACACTGTAGCCACTCAGCATTTACTGTGAGATGGAAAGATAACCCAGTGTGGCTAGTTTACAAACCTGGGTTTGGTGTTGTAAACAGTCAGCTGGGTGGTGGTGACACATGCCTTTAGTCCCAGCACTCGGGAGGCAGAGACAGGCGGGTCTTTGTGAGTTTGAGGCCAGCCTGGTCTACAGAGAGAGTTCCAGGACAGCCAGGGCTACACAGAGAAACCCTGTCTCAAAACAAAACAAAAACAAAAACAAAAACCAGTCAGCAAATGCACGCACAGCTTTGAACTGTGTCTGACCGGGCTCACAGGGACTCCTACTCATTCCTGGCATAGGAGAGAGAAGTCAGGACATGAAGTAGGATCCCTCAGAGCGGAGAGGGCCTCAGCAACCATCTGCCCATCCCTGAGTGGCCCCCAGGAACCCTCTTCTTCTCTTTGGGCCCTGTGGGGCCCTTTCCGTATTTGGTCAGCTTCTCCTGGGCTGTCAAGACATCTTTGGATGGAGTGGCAGGGTTCTCCTGTCTTGGTCTCTCACAGAGAGAAACTTGCAGCACCCCTTAAGTTGAGATTTTGGGAGGCTACACTGAGACTCTGAGGACCCTAAGGACAATTCAAGTGAGTGAACTGAGGCGAGAGACCACAAAGCAGGGGGTTCTGGGTCCCCCAAACTGGCTGCGGCAGAACTCACAGACTGGGCAGCTTCTGTGCTTGGATGCTGGGCAGCTGGCACTGGCACCAGCCCAAATGCCTCAGTTCCCTCATTTGAGAGGCCAAATAAGGAAGCAAAAACATGGGCTCTAGGGTTAGAGGGACTGGGATTCGGATGTGGGGGGGACCGTCACTGCCCTCACCCTGGGCGAGCTCAGGACCTCTCAGTTGGGTAACATGGGATCGTCATGTTTTTTGGACCTTAGAGGTTTGGGGACCAGTGTGTGGGGATATTGGGAGTGGAGCAGCCTAGTTAGAGGAAGCAGGGTCATTGGGGGGGTGGGTGGGGTGGGGGTGTGTGGAGGTGGGTGTGACTGTGAAGGGAATATTGGGACCTTTCCTCTGTAACTGCTTCCCATTCTTCATGAAATAAAGAGACTTATGGCAACTCTCTCTGCCAGTGTGAGGTACGGGCACCACACACACAGAAAAAACTGGCTGGATGACTAGGAACCAAAAACTGAAATTGTGAGCCAAATAATCCCTTTCTAACCCCCTTTCAAGATGGCCTCTCTCTATACAGTCCAGGATAGCCTTGATCTTCTGTTCTTCCCACCTTAGCCTCCCAAGTGCCAGAATACAGGGACCAACACCATGCTGATTCTCTCTTTTTTGGTTTTCCAAGACAGGATTTCTCTGTGTAACAGCCCTGGCTGTTCTGGAACTCACTCTGTAGTCCAAGCTGGCCTCGAACTCACAGAGATCCACCTGCCTCTGCCTCCTGAGTGCTGGGATCAAAGGTGTGTGCCACCACTGCCCAGCTGCTGGTTTCTCTCTCTCTCTCTTTTTTTCTAGACAGGGTTTCTCTGTGTAGCTTTGGCACCTTTCCTGGAACTCATTCTGTAGACCAGGCTGGCCTCGAACTCACAGAGATCTGCCTGCCTCTGCCTCCCGAGTGCTGG